CATCCAGCAATGGGAGCCTGATGGCCAGGGGAGGGACTGAGAGGTCAGCCATTCCCGCCCACTCGCCGGCCCCATCCCCGCTACCTGTCACCCTCTGTGTGTGGGGTGACCAGCAGACAGGGGCCTTGGCCTGGTGCCACCCGCATCCCTTGCCACCCATCCAAGGTCCCTGTTTTCCATCAGTGATCAGAGTCTGCTGGCCAGAGAAAGGGACTGAGAGGTGGTCAGTGCACCTCATAGTGACTGGTAGAGCAGTCGTTCTGGTCGTCCTGCCATTGTGGTCACTGGGCTTTTATTATATAGGATTATTATTAATACTAGTGGCCCAGTGCACAAAATTTGTGCACAGGGGTTGTCATTCAACCCAGCCTGCACACTCTTCAATCTGGGACCCCTTGGGGGATGTCCAACTACCAGTTTAGGCCCGATCCCACAGGGCAGTCGGACATCCCTCTCGCAATCCGGGACCACCTGCTCCTAACCGCTCACCTGCCTGCCTGCCTAATTGCCCCTAACCACTCTGCCTGCTGGCCTGATCACCCCTAACTGCCCCCCACTGCCAACCTGATTCCCCCCAACTGCCCCCCTGCCAGCCTGCTTGCCTCAACTTCCCCCCCTGCCAGCCTGATCGCCCCAACTGACCCCCTGTCATCCTTCTCGCACCCAACTACCCCTGCTGTAAGCCTACTTGACCTCAACTGCCCCCCTCAACCAGCCTGTTCGCACTCAACTGCCCCCCCACTGGTCTGATCTCCCCCAACTGACCCCCCCTGCCAGCCAGCTTCCCCCAACTTCCCCCCTCCCCCTGGCCTGATCACCCCTAACTGCCTCTGCCTCAGCTCTGCCACCATGGCTTTGTCCGGAAGGATCTCTGGAAGGTCTCCTAGAAGGTCTCCTGATCTAATTAGCATATTAACCTTTTATTAGTATAGATTATTATTAATTTTACCATTTCTGGTGCACTTTCTTCCACCCAATCCCAGCCCCTCTCCCCTCCCTTACCTGCATTCACATGGCCCACTTGGTGAAATACATAGGCACCAGTGCACATGAGAAACATTCCCACGTTCGGTACCATGGCTGCTGGCCTTCCCGTGACTGATGAACGTCAGCCTCTGTCGCCTTCTTATATAACATGCTTCCCTCACACCACCCCCTGCAACCGGATAAGAATCAACCTCCCCAGAGCCGTGCATGTGTGTTCCTAAGCCTGAGAGCATAAAATTCAAGATTATCTCTCAGCTGAAACCACAGGACATTGGCTCATGGCTTCATGTCCCTGAGTCTCAATAGCTTAAAATGCATTTAAAATGAGGCAAGGATGTTTGTAAAATCCCTTTGTTTTAGTGTTTCATGATCAGGCAAAAGGGAGAGGGAAAGATGAAAAGGACCATCTGGTCTCACCGGGTGTTCAACCCCATGGATATGGACAATAACTTGGTAAAGGCTAAGGAAGGGGGAGGGTGGAGGTGGGCAAAGAATGGAGAGGGACACCTGCAATAATGTTGACATTAAAATTTTTTAATTAAAAAAATAATAAAATGGCCCCTGCGGCATGGCTCAGTGGTTGAGCATTGACCTGTGAACTGTGCTGGGCTGCATATCTGGCGCTTCGGCGAGGTGAGGCACACCGTGCTCTCTGTTCCTAGGACACATAGATAGGAAGGTGGTCACGGTACTGATGCTGGACTGTGTCGGGAACAAATTGTGTAAACAAGGCTTTGTAACTAACTTTGTGGTTTTTGCAAATAAAAACGCTGTAACTCCTGTAGTCAGCACTGCAGTTCAGCCTTTGCTTCGGCAGGGTGCTGTAACTGTAGTCGCTGGCCAGCTTAATAAAGGCTCATAAATTTTGATCTGAGTTCCTGGTGGTCATCTCCACAGGTTGCCCCATTACATTTGGAGGCCCCCAGCGAGATCCACTCCGGCTGAGTTGCTGGTGGACACCCCAGACGCCCCAGGCGAGGACACTCCAGTCTCTGTCCCGGGTCCCAGGGAGGTGGAGTGTTTTCCTCCCAAAACTGCAATCCAAAAACGACGAACCAACTGGACCTACAGTGGGGAGGTAAGAATCTGGTATCTGTCTGTGGAACGTTCCCCTTAGGACTCAAAAGAGGGCTGGACACAGCGGAACCTCGGAGTCCGACCGCCAGGACGCGACGGCATCTGGGGGTCCTGGTCTGGGCAACCTTAGGTTGCATTTGTCTGGTTTGTTTTGTCTTTGTTGGTATTTGTCTTTGTCTTTGTCAAAATGGGTCAGGGTCAGTAGTCTTCGTCGACCCCCTTACAAGGTTTTCTTGAGAATTTTCAGGACTTCAAGAGACGCGGAGAGGACTACGCCACCCCCATTAATTATTTTGATTTACAGAAATTTTGTGAACGAGAGTGGCCCACGTTTGGGCTTGGGTGGCCATCCACCAGGTCCTTTTGATCTGGGACAGCATATCGGGTTCAGCACATTGTTTATGGTCGTCCTGGCCACCCTGACCAAATTCCCTACATCCAGATATGGGTAGACATCCTCACTGAGAAATCCCGGTGGTTAAAGAAATGCCAATTCCCCGAAGAAAAATTGGGACAGAGACAGACTATTTTGCTGACAGAGCCCTCAAAGGCGGGAAAAAGACAAACCCTAAGGTCAAAGGATGAGGTCTCAGGACGACAGCCTCCATCTTATGTCCCCCCACCTGGGACACCCTCGGGAAGCGGACCCCAAGGCTCCTGTGGAGTCATCTCCCCAGCCTCCCCTGGGTACTCTTCCTGACCCAGGTCTAAGTCCAGAGGTGAAAGCTGGAGCAGGTTTCCAGGGGCTTCTCCCCTTTATCCCCCGATCCCTCAGGCCCCACTCCCTGGTGCGGGGCAGGCTGCGGAGTCGAGTTCCCCGCCACCACCACAACCTCTGCCATGGCCACCCGCACAAACTCTGTCAGCCAGAAACCCTTTTAGTCTGCCCCACACTAGGACCGGGGCCTCTTGTGGACCTCCAGCGGACCCCCAGAGAGGGACTGAGGAGGCTTCCCCAAGTGGGCCAGCCCCCTTGTTGCCATTATGTCAGGCAGCCCCCCTGGACTTAGGGCCGGACGGTCGACCTTTTATGACTTATGTCCCCTTTTCCACTAGTGATCTGTATAACTGGAAGAATCAGAATCCGTCCTTTTCTCAAAACCCCCAGAGTTTGGTCTCCCTCCTTTAGTCGGTTTTCTTCACTCACCAGCCGACCAGACTCTCTTCACCTCAGAGGAGAGGAAGAAAGTAAGAAATGAAGGAAGAAAGCTGGTCCTTGGGCCAGACGGACAGCCTGCCACTGATCCTGGAAGGATAGAGGCGGTTTTTCCGGCTGGAAGGCCACAGTGGGACCACAATTTGGACCAAGGGAAGGAGGCTCTCAACAGGTATCGCCAGACTCTCCTCAGGGCCATCCAAGCTGCCACTCGGAAGCCCACTAATCTCTCCAAGGTAACAGAGACTGTGTAGGGACTGAGTGAAAGCTCAGCCGCCTTTTTAGAGAGGCTTTGTGAGGCATACCGGGTGTATACCCCAATTGACCCGGGTGCCCCGGAAAATCGGCAGGCCATTAATATTGCGTTCGTGTCCCAGTCGGCCCCAGACATTAGAAAAAAGTTACAAAAGTTAGAAGGCTTTGAGGGGAAGTCACTCTCAGAACTGGTCGAGGTTGCCCAGAAGGTTTTCAATAATCGGGATGACCAAACTGCAAACCTAAATACCAAAATGGCAAAGATCTTACTGGCTATGAACGAGGGAAAGGGATCAAGGCAAGGCACCGGGAAGAAAGACGGGAAAAAGAGACAAGGCCAAAGGGCCAGGCTGGAGAAGAACCAATGTGCTTACTGTAAAAAGGAAGGACACTGGAAAAGGGAATACCCCGAAAGACCGGAGATGAAAGAAAACCCAGTGCTGGTCGAGGAGGTGGACTGAGGGCGTCAGGGCTCTGTAGGCCCCCAGGAGCCCAGGGTAACATTGAGCATTGGGGGCAAACCAATGGATTTCCTCATAGACACTGGAGCCACGTTTTCAGTACTACAACACCCAGCTGGCCCGATCTCGAAGTCCAGAACCCCCATTCAAGGGGCGACAGGGAGAGTAAAATCTTACCCCTGGATTCAGGGACGAATCACAATCCTAGGGGCAGGCACAGTTACCCACTCTTTTCTTGTAATGCCCGAATGCCCCTACCCCCTTCTGGGAAGAGACTTACTCAACAAACTCTGAGCCACAATTTCCTTTGAAGGAGGGGAAGGACCTCGGGTACTCCTCCAACTGCCCACAGAGTCAGAGGGATTGAGTTACTTTGAGTTACAGTTTTACTCCTCACCTGCCCTTTACAGGAGGAATACAGGCTACATGAAGGGATTTCAAAGACCCCCTCAGAAGACCCCTACCTCCGAGAGCTCCAAAAAGAGATACCCGGAGTTTGGGCTGAGGGGAATCCACCTGGGCTGGTTAGACACCGGCCTCCCATAGTGATCCAGCTCACCAGCACTGCCACTCTGATTCAGGTCAGGCAATACCCGATGAGCCAGAAGGCAAAGTTGGGCATAGCCAAACACATACAGAGACTGAGAAAGGCGGGAATCCTAATACCTTGCCAGTCAGCATGGCACACCCCTTTACTACCTGTTCAGAAACCAAGAACAGAAGACTTTAGGCCCGTTCAAAATTTAAGGGAGGTAAACAACAGAGTAGAAACTATCCATCTTACCGTCCCTAACCCTTATACTCTCCTAAGCTTACTTCGGCCAGACCACCGGTATTATACTGTCCTAGACTTGAAGGATGCTTTCTTCTCCCTTCCCTTGGCACCCCAGAGTCAACCAATTTTTGCTTTTGAGTGGACAGACCCAGAGGAGGGAGAGTTAGGACAATTGACTTGGACCAGACTCCCTCAGGGATTTAAGGACTCCCTCACTATATTCGATGAGGCCCTTAACCAAGACCTTAAAGAATATCGCCACAGCCATTCAGGTGTCACCCTGCTCCAGTATGTTGACAACCTCCTACTGGCCACTGAGAAAGAAGACTGCTGTCAGGCTACACAGAATCTGCTGCTGACATTGGACCGCCTCGGATACCGAGTCTCTGCTTACAAGGCCCAACTCTGTGCCACCAGGGTAACTTACCTCGGATATCACATAGAGGAAGGTAAGAGGACCCTCTCCCACAGTAGAATCCAGGCAATACTCTCTATCCCAACCCCCAAGACGAAACGACAGGTACGAGAATTCCTTGGAGCGGTAGGGTATTGTAGGCTTTGGATTCTAGGTTTTGCTGAAATTGCAAAGCCTCTGTACACGGCCACAGGGGGCAAGGACCCTGACCTAAACTGGACAAAAGTAGAAGGTAGGGCCTAGATAGGGCCTAGCAACTAAAACAGGCCCTAATAAGTGCCCCGGCCTTAGCCCTCCCTGACCTCACCAAACCGTTCCAGCTCTATGTGGTTGAATCCCGAGGTGTGACGAAAGGAGTCCTAACGCAAACTCTGGGACCCTGGAAGAGGCCAGTTGCCTACTTGTCAAAAAGACTAGTCCCAGTGGCTGCAGGGTGGCCAAGCTGCCTAAAGGCAATAGCAGCAAAGGCAATAATGGTTAAAGAGGCTTCTAAATTAACTTTTGGGAAAGATCTATGGGTGGTGGCACCCCGCTCAGTAGAGACTGTGTTGCGCAGTCCCCTAGAATGCTGGCTATCGAATGCCCACATTACTCAATACCAAGTACTCTTATTAGACCCTCCCAGGGTGAGTTTTCTAAAGACTGCTACCCTAACCCCAGCCGCCCTCTTACCAGATGAAAGGGCAGAGCCCCTCATCCATGACTGTGAAGACACCCTGACGGCTCTCACCTTTCTACAGACTATCTTACTGATCAACCCCTTGTCAACCCCGAGGAGACACTGTTTAAAGACGAAGTAGCTTCATTGAGAATGGTGTCCAGTATGCCAGGGCAGCAGTGGTTACAAGGAATCAAGTCATCTGGGCACAAGCCTTAGGACATGGCACTTCTGCTCAGAAGGCTGAATTGATAGCCCTCACACAGGCCCTGCGGTGGGGGAAGGACAAGAGAGTCAACATTTATACAGATAGCAGATATGCCTTTGCCACTGTACATGTCCACGGGGTTCTATATCAAGAAAGAGGGTTATTAACCTCAGGAGGCAAGGACATTAAAAATGCTCAAGAATTATTAAACCCCTCTCTGCCATATGGGGGCCCAAGGAGGTGGCAGTAATCCATTGCAAAGGGCATCAAAAGGACGACTCCCCTGTGGCCCAGGGAAACCAGTTTGCAGACAAAACAGCCAAAGAGACTGAAAAAAGACCAGTAGGGTCGCTTGTAGTACCACCCCAGAATCTACAGCCAAACCCTGTTTACACCTCAGAAGAAAAGGAAACAGCCACAAAATTACACGCAAAAGGGACTTCCCAGGGATGGCTACTATTACCAGATGGAAGGCCTTTTGTTCCAGAGGCTTTGGGCCGAATCATCGCCTCCCAGACACATCAAAGTACTCACCTGGGAGGAACCAAACTAGCTGAACTCCTGGGAAGGGAATACTACATACCAAGGCTACATCGAATAACCCGGGATATAGCCAGAAGGTGCCAAATTTTTGCCCAGGTAACCCCAAGCCCACCGGTGACGGTACCACCGGGAAGCTGGTTCCAGGGATTGAGTCCCGGTGAAGACTGGGAAGTGGACTTCACTGAACTACCCTGTGGACAAGAAGGTTACCAGTATCTCCTAGTGTTTGTAGACACCTTCTCCGGGTGGCTGGAGGCATACCCGACCAGGGCTGAGACAGCACAGATAGTAGTTAAGAAACTCCTCTCTGAAATTCTCCCCCGGTTTGGCCTACCACCATACATGGGGCCCGACAATGGCCCGGCGTTCATCGCCAAAGTAACTCAATCCCTAGTTGAGGCCCTTAAGGTCACCTGGAAGTTACATTGCATTTATAGACCTCAAAGTTCTGGACAGGTAGAAAGGATGAATCAGACTCTTAAGGAAACATTGACAAAACTAAAATTAGAGACGAAAACTGGGTAAGTCTCCTCCCCTTTGCTCTGCTCAGGACCGGATGCACCCCATATGTAAAAGGGCTGACTCCTTTTGAAATCATGTTCAGCAGACCGCCATCTCTCCTCCCGCAGCTGCAAGAGGAAGAGCTGGCTGCGCTATCTAACTGAAATCTCCTCAAGTCCTTACAGACACTCCAGACCAGCTTAGCGGCTGTGCACTAAATCACCCGGGCAGCTCATCAGGAAGCCTGCGCACCCAACCCTAACAGCCCACCTGTGTGTGCCCCTGGTGATTTGGTCTGGGTGAAGTGACACAATCCAGGTACTCTTGAGCCTCGGTGGGAAGGGCCTTTCCAGGTCATCCTAAGCACCCCAACTGCTGTCAAAGTCGGGGGAAAGAAGCACTGGATTTACCGCACACAAATCAAGAAGGCTGAAGACGCATCGGGACAATGGCCTGTAGAGCACACAGCAGACCCACTCAAGGTCAGACTGAAAAGGGACCCTATCTAGGCATCCTCCTTTTATGCCTCCTGGTTTTGGCAAGTGGGAATCCCCACCAAGCCCCAGTTTACTCCTGGGAGGTCACCCGCACTCTGGACGGTAAAATCATTTGGAAGGCCACCACCTCAGGGCCCCCAAAGCTGCATACTGATCTTTGCAAAATATTTGGGAAAGAATGGAACCACCCCCTCACCATAAGGGGATCTGGGATATTAGGGGGAAATGCTGGGTATGTATCTACACAGACATATGGATGTGGAAACCTTAACCTTGAACAAGACCTATGGCGAACCCAGCACTATGTCTGCCCCCAAGAAGGGCCCCTGGAGTGTGGGGGTGAAAATGACTTTTACTGTGCCTCTTGGGGCTGTGAAACCTTAGCCCCATGGAAGACCACTGACGCACTACTCCTGTTTACCAGGACAGTGAGGCCTGGGGCACCCACGGCCAACTGCTCGGTTGGGGACTGCAATTCAGTAATGCTACAACCTTTAGACTGGATGGTGGACTATTGGGAAGGGGGGAAAACATGGGCGATCTGACTATATGTGTCAGGCCGGGATCTGGGCGAACTTTTCACCATTCAACGTCGCACCCTTCCCCTGGTCTGAAACCCAGTGGTCCCCCTGCGCCCAATATTCCAACCTGAGCCCCTGTGGCCCCCCAGGCCTATGCAAGCTCCAACCCCGCCTGCATCTGTTCTGGGAAAGCCTGACTGGAACAACACGGAGACACTGGAGCCAGCCCCAACACCAACCGGATCCTCGGGGGAACTTGAACCACCGCCAGATACATCTCATAGGGGTTTATTGGGTACTCTAGAGGCCATGTTCAACTTCCTTAACAAAACTTTACCCAATATGACTAAGGACTGTTGGTTATGTCTAAACTCTGAACCACCTTATTACATAGGGATTGGGGCAAATATCTCTTTTGGATCAAATGCTTCCGAAATTCGCAACTACTCAGTTGAAATCTTGCCCTATGGTCTCTGCATATGGGGCCACCAGTTTCGAGGTCTTTCCTTAGAGGACTTACAGGGAGCTGGTACCTGTATAACCCCGGTAAATTACCCACTAAAGTCCTCTCCATATTCTTCCTCCTGTACCCAGGTAATAGAACTTCCTAAGGAATATGATGAATCCCTAAATAGATATTTTGTTGCACCAGAGGGTACCTGGTGGGCATGTAATAATGGAATTACTCCCTGTGCTTTCCCCCCAATATTACTATCAAAATCAGATCCAGGCATTTGCAACAAAATACTCCCACAGGTATATTACTATTCAGGAGAAGGGGGAAGAGAACATCTACAGTTAGAGCCCAGGCAGTACAAAAGAGCACCCGTCCTAGTCCCCCTCCTCGTCGGGCTAGGCATAGCAGGATCCACAGCTGTTGGGACAGCTGCCCTGGTAACTGGACAACAAAACTACAAGGAACTAGGGCAACAAATTGACCAAGACCTCAGCACTCTTGAAAAATCTGTAGGACAACTAGAAAACACTCTAAGCTCTTTAGCAGAAGTAGTTTTACAGAACCAAAGGGGGCTAGACTTGCTATTCCTTAAACAAGGTGGATTGTGCATAGCTTTGGGAGAAGCTTGTTTTTATACCAGCCACTCGGGAGTTATTCAGGAAAGTTTAAGCCAGCTTAGAAAATGCCTCTTAGAGAGGAAAGAAGAAAAGTAGAAGGAAATTGGTATGAAAACCTCTTTACTCGGTCACCCTGGTTAACCACCCTCCTGTCAGCCATAGCCGGCCCACTGGTCCTGCTACTTATAATTTCACTGTTCGGTCCATGCCTCGCTAAATGCTTACTTAATATTATTCAAAGCAGAATCCAAGCTGTCAAGCTCATGGTCCTCCACACCCACTACCAACAAATCCCTAAAGAAGGCTGGCAGGAAGCAGAATCAATGATTTGATTCACAATAAGACCAGTAAGGAATGTGCTGGACTGCATATATGGCGCTTGGGCCAGGTGAGGCACGCCGTGCTCTCTGTTCCTAGGACACATAGATAGGAAGGTGGCCACTGTACTGATGCTGTACTGTGTCGGGAACAAATTGTGTAAACAAGGCTTTGTAACTAACTTTGTGGTTTTTGCAAATAAAAATGCTGTAACCCTGTAGTCGGCACTGCAGTTCAGTCTTTGCTTTGGCAGGGTGCTGTAACTGTAGTCGCTGGCAAGCTTAATAAAGGCTCCTAAATCTTGACCTGAGTCCCTGGTGGTCATCTCCGCGGGTCAGCCATTACAGAACCAGGAGATCATAGTCTGAATCCCAGTCAGGACATATGCCCAGGTTGCAGGCTCAATCCCCATTAGGGGGCGTGCAGGAGACAGCCAATCAGTGATTCTCTCTCATCATTGATGTTTCTCTTACTCTCCCTCTACCTTCCTCTCTAAAATCAATAAAAATATATTTTAAAAAAATACTAAAATGAATAAATAAAATGAGTTTAAAAAAAACAACA